GGCGATTGAGAATCGCAGACCACCTGTGGCTTCTGGGACTCGTCAGCGTGGCGGGTTCGACCTTGAAGGAGACTCATCGCATGGATCAGTGAAACTTAATTCCACAATTAGGCTTTTTCGGAACCAGAACGCCCAGATGGACTCAAGGCTGAAGAAAAAAATCTGTCTGCCTGAAGAAAAACAAAATCAAGCTTATCTAATCTGACTCCCAATGGCCTCGGAGACAGGCTGACTATCAAGAGACGTTCACGTTCGGATGATGTCGTTTCAAGTTAAGTTGGACGTGTTGCTGCTGCAGATCCAGTCTCCATGAAACGACGTCGATACGCAGCTTTGGATTTGTTCACTTGTCTTTTAACAAGAAAGACATAATGTTTCCAAACAGGAGACTGCAACGAGATGCTAGGCTGCTAATGCTGCGCGTGCTGCAAGATAATAGCGCCGTGCTGAAACACGCTTAGGAATTTTAGTTCCGCGGCGCATAATCTCTCGTTAATAAAATGTAATTAATGAAAAAATAACCGTAACGGTACGCAGGTGGACCGAACCTAATGTGCCGCACCGAAACGGTTCAGTACACCCACATGTACCATTACACCCCTAATGGTTAGGCTGTAGAAATGAATGAAAAATGAATGTAAGTAAATACAAAGTCCCTGTAGAGACAGAAAGAAAAATATTTGTGTGTGTTTGGGGGGGTGTTGATGATCCACTTACACATTTTCCTATGCGTTTGCTGACGGGCTTCATAATGAAAGATGACACAAACCCACTGACGTACATGACCAATGGAATGGTAGCAATGAAATTCTGTGAGAAGAGAAAAAGACAGGATGGTCAGATATATCTGCAAGAAAAAAAATGAGTCGCTACTGTTGTCACACGCTTTGTACCCCACGTGTTTATATGCAGGAGCGTCTTATTTATGGTTTTGTTTTTTTTTTATTTATAATTTTCAAAATTTATATTTTAATATTTTTTTTGAAAGACTTCCTGCTGTCTCTCTGTAGCTTCCTGCTACTGACTAACATTTTCCTTTGACAGAGCTGGGTGCTCGTGACTCTCGGCACCCAGCCCCTCATTGGGTCAGGCGTTTGTGACACAGAGAGAACGCCCTCAGGTAATCAGATGTACAAGGCCTGTTGCTCACGGTTTCAAATTCCCAACCATAACTCCACCCTCTCTGTCATCATGTGACCAGAAGTCTAACCTGAATGACCAACGAGGTACTCTCCAGGACCATCCCCCAAGATAGACGTGAATTAATTTCTTCAGATAGTCCCCGTGTTGTTTATCGTATTTTGCTCTTCATGCACAGACCTGTTCATTTGTTCAACGGTAATGGAAAACACGGAGAATTTCTTATGACGCAGCTTTCATGTTGAAAGAGATCGGCTGTCGAGGAGGAAACAGTTGCAGCCCATAGGCTGCATCAACGTGTGTCCATGGTCAGGATTGGAGACGCAAAAGCAGTCACGTCTGATACATGTTTTAATAAAAGTTTTTTAATTCTTTTGTGTGACATCTTTCTATGTCGCTAAATATGCATGTAAATACCAGGATCTCATTTTAAAGTCACATCCAAACAAGAAATGGAGAAACTGAAGAGGTCTTTCCCCCCTCCCTTTTCCGTCATGAGAAAGATGGTGGAGCGGTGGAGAAGTCGTCAGGTTTATTTTTAAAGCAGTCAGTCAGTCAAGACTGGTACATATTTAAATAAAAGTTTTAAAAAAAATCTTTCTATGTACAGTAAATATGTGTTTAAATACCAGCATCTCATTTAAGCTTAAACAGGGACATTAAACTGAGCAACGGAGACAATGAGAGGGAAAAAAGAACGGGGAGGGAGGTGCTGTTCTTCATCATACGAGCTCTGCTGAGGAGAAATCACGTCAAATTTACAAATTACATTTAAAAACAGCAGTTGTTAACAAAAGTGTTTACCAATAAAAATCAATGGTACTAATTTAATGAATATTTACCGCATTCTACTGGTACTATTTGACTTCCAGTCACATGACCTCGACAAGACTTCTTGGTAATATTTACCGGTAAATACTTTTTAAATAGTTTCAGTTACGTAGGTGTTTGGCACTGTTCTGTCCAGTGACTATGCTTCGTTACTGTGTTACTTTTGAAGGTATAATGGTTGTAACCTGAGTCAGACAAAGAAGCTTCATGAAGACTTCTGATGATCTTGCAGTCTGAGTGTGTTGAAAGCAAGCTATATTCTGTGAAACACCACCTGCTGGCTGGATCTTGTACTACAACAAGAAATCTGCACACAGAGCAGACTGGGGGCACAGATCCCAACGATGAACGGTGGACGCCTGCGGCTAAATAAATGGAGCCTCTTATTTATGTACAAAATTATGATTTCTCATATTTAATAAGTGTGGCTTAGAGACAGGTGCGTCTTAAAGCCCAAGATTTATGGATAATTAAACAAATACTTTAAATGCTGAATCGGCTTCACACAATTGCTTCCTGTGTTTGACTGTATTACTCTAACTTTTAGTTATTAATAAGCTCTTACACAGAACATTCAGCTCATTCAGGAAATTACAGTTGTCTTCTGGTTTCTGTAATTTGTAGACTTTGAAATGTTTAATTTTATTTTGTTAAGCTTAGATTTTAGCTACTGATTTGTTAGATTGAGAGTTAAGCTCCAGTTTGCTATCCATCCATCCATTTTCTTCCGCTTATCCGGGGTCAGGTCGCGGGGGTAGCAGCCTAAGTAGGGAGGCCCAGACTTCCCTCTCCCCAGCCACTTGGGCCAGCTCTTCCGGGGGAATCCCGAGGCGTTCCCAGGCCAGCCGAGAAATATAGTCCCTCCAGCGTGTCCTGGGTCTTCCTCTGGGCCTCCTTCCGGTGGGACGTGTCCGGAACACCTCACCAGGGAGGCGTCCAGAAGGCATCCTAAACAGATGCCCAAGCCACCTCAACTGGCTCCTCTCGACGTGGAGAAGCAGCGGCTCTACTCTGAGTCCCTCCCGGAGGATCGAGCTTCTCACCCTATCTCTAAGGGAGAGCCCAGACACCCTGCGGAGAAAACTCATTTTGGCCGCTTGTATCCGAGATCTCAATCTTTCGGTCAAAACCCAAAGCTCGTGACCATAGATGAGGGTAGGAACGTAGATCGATTGGTAAATTGAGAGCTTCACCTTTTGACTCAGCTCTCTCTTCCGCACTGCTCCTCCTGAATCCGAGGTTCGACTATCCGATGGACCCTCCTCTCCAGAACCCCTGAATAGACCTTACCAGGGAGGCTTAAGAGCGTGATTCCCCTGTAGTTGGAACACACTCTACGGTCCCCCTTTTTGAATAGGGGGACCACCACCCCGGTCTGCCAATACAGCGGAACTTCCCCCGATGTCCACGCAATATTGCAGAGTCGCGTAAGCCAACACAACCCTACAACATCCAGAGCCTTAAGGAACTCCGGGCGAATATCATCCACCCCTGGGGCCCTGCCACCGAGGAGCTTTTTAACCACCTCGGTGACCTCAGCACCAGAGATTGGAGGGCCCGACCCAGAGTCCCCAGGCTCCGCTTCCTCAGTGGAAGACGTGCCGGTGAGATTGAGGAGGTCTTCAAAGTATTCCGCCCACCGACCCACAACATCCCGAGTTGAGGTCAGCAGCACACCACTCCCACTATAAACAGTGTTGGTGGCGTACCGCTTTCCCCCCCTGAGACGCCGGATGGTGGAACAGAATCGCCTCGAAGCCGTGCGGAAGTCATTCTCCACGGCCTCTCCGAACTCCTCCCATGCCCAAGTTTTTGCCTCAGCGACCACCCAAGCCGCATGTCGCTTGGACTGCCGGTACCCATCAGCTGCTTCCGGGGTCCCACAGGCCAAAAAGGCCCGATAGGACTCCTTCTTCAGCCTGACAGCATCCCTCACCGGAGATGTCCACCATCGGGTTCGAGGGTTGCCGCCACGACAGGCACCGACAACCTTGCGGCCGCAGCTCCGGTAAGCCGCCTCGACAATAGAGGCACGAAACATGGTTCACTCAGACTCAATGTCCCCCACCTCCCTCGGAACATGTTCCAAGTTCTCCCGGAGGTGGGAGTTAAAACTCCGTCTCACAGGAGACTCTGCCAGACGTTCCCAGCAAACCCTCACAATATGTTTGGGTCTGCCAGGTCTGACCGGCATCCCCCCCCCCCACCATCGGAGCCAACTCACCACCAGGTAGTGATCAGTGGACAGCTCCGCCCCTCTCTTCACCCGAGTGTCCAAGACATGTGGCCGCAGATCAGATGAGACAATGACAAAGTCGATCATCAAACTGCGGCCTAGGGTGTCCTGGTGCCAAGAGCACATATGGACACACTTACGCTTGAACAAGGTGTTCATTATTGACAATCCATGACGAGCACAGAAGTCCAACAACAGAACACCACTCTGGTTCAGATCAGGGGGGGCCATTCCTCCAAACCACACCCCTCCAGTTCTCACTGTCATTGCCCACATGAGCATTGAAGTCCCCCAGGCGAACAAGGGAGTCCCCAGGAGGTGCACTTTCCAGTACCCCCTCCAAGGACTCCAGAAAGGGTGGATAATATGAACTGCCGTTTGGTGCATAAGAACAAACGACAGTCAGAACCCATCCCCCCACACGTAGGCGGAGGGAAGCCACCCTCTCATTCACCGGGGTGAACCCAAACACACAGGCACCAAGTTGGGGGCAATAAGTATGCCCACTCCTGCTCGGCGCCTCTCACCAGGGGCAACTCCAGAGTGGAAGAGTGTCCAGCCCCTCTCAAGGAAACTGGTTCCAGAGCCAGAGCCATGCGTAGAGGTGAGCCCGACTATTTCTAGCCGGAACCTCTCAGCCTCACACACCAGCTCAGGCTCCTTCCCCACCAGTGAGGTGACATTCCACGTCCCAATAGCCAGCTTCTGTAGCCGAGGATCAGACCGCCAGGGTCCCCGCCCTCGGCCACCACCCATCCCACATTGCACCCGACCCCTTTGGCCCCTCCCACAGGTGGTGAGCCCATGGGAAGGGGGACCCACGTCTCCTCTTCGGGCTGTGCCCGGCCGAGCTCCATGGGTAAAAGCCCGGTCACCAGGCGCTCGCCCGCGTGTCCCAACTCCAGGCCTGGCTCCAGAGTGGGGCCCCGGTGACCCACGTCCGGGCAAGGGAACATTAGGTCTGTTTATTTCTCTCATCATCGGGGTCTTTGGGCTGCACTTTGTCTGGTCCCTCACCTAGGACCTGTCTGCCATGGGTGACCCTACTAGGGGTGTAAAGCCCCTGACAGCATAGCTCCTAGGATCATTGGGGCACTCAAACCCCTCCACCACGGTAAGGTGGCAGCCCAGGGAGCTCCAGTTTGCTAGTTTTAGCTAATTAAGTTGTGTTCAGTTTACTTTTAACTATAATTTTTCTAGTTTTAGCCTTTAGCTTCTGTTTAGCTGATTTTAGTTATTCTGCTTTGTTTAGGTTTTTGTTGCACTTTTGCTTTTTTATTTCATTTATCACATTGCTAGTTTTAGCTATTGTTTTGCGGGCTTTAGATTTGATCTTTTGGCCGTTTTAGTTTTGATTCTGCTCATGTTAACTTTAATTATTAGGTTTCAGCTTCTTCAAAGATCAGATCTGTATTTCCAAAGAAAAATGCTGAAGTGTGAGGTTTTACCTTGGGCAGTCCCAGCGTGTTGATGAGATACATGGAGATGTAAGTCTGAGAGAGATTCACGATTAACCTGGTGGACATATAGAGTAAGGCCACCTGCAGACAAACAGTAACACTTGATGCTGTGCAGTTAAAAAAGAAAATGAAAGCTGCATGAAACCAGACTATCAGCCAAAGTCACTTCAGCTAAAAAGCAGAGAGTTCAGTCTCAGCAGACTTACCTGGTAGAAGGAAGGCTGCTTGAGCCAACACTTCCACTGCAGAAAGTGTGAAGCAGCGTTAGAGGAAGGTAACAAGGGACTCCGCTCCCCGTCGGCCTCCTGTCCTGCTCTGGGATGTTGTCCCTCGGAGGTTCCCAGGTGAAAGAAGGCAGCAAAGAGAGCACCGATGCCCAGAACAATGAAGGCCAGATTCTGTCAAAAAACACATCAATACACACAGAAACTAACAGATGTTCTGTCTCATCCAACAAAAAATAAAAATTATACTATTCTTTATTAAAAAAGAATTCTACAAAATCAAGACATAGCAGACATTTTTGACTTATTAATGACATATGTGAGGTTCCAGCTGTTGAAACCAGAATTTTACTGGGCTGCGACTATTAGAGAGTTGTTAAGATATTTCCTCTTCTGAGAGAGATAGAACCAGGGGAAGCGGTGGGGGCTGGCTGAGGGTCCAGGGTGAGACAGGAAGCCTGAGGCCCACAGCTAGCCATAGCTAACTGCAGTGACTGACGACCCACAGTCAGCTCCCATAACGCAACAGCCTACAGCAGTCCCTAGTTTATCGAGGGGAATATGTACCCTGAAGCCCCACGATAAGTGAAAAACTGCAAAGTAGGAATAGTAGTACAAGTAGTAAGTAGTAGTTTATTGTAACACACACACATATATATATATATATATATATATATATATATA